GTCGCGGTGACAGCTGGTGTGTATGGAAGAGTATCGGAGTAACAGCTGGTGGTGGTATGGGAGGAGGTATAATTCTTATAACAGTACGTACGCCATTTATTGATCCGTTTGTTTATTTAGATTTGTGTAATCCTAAAAAGTATCTTGTATTATTATATTTATAATATCTATAATATGTGTGTGTGTGGTGTGGTGTGTGTGTGGTGGTTGTGTGTGTGTGCGTGTGTGTGTGTGTGTGCGCGTGCGTGCGTGCGTGCGTGCGTGCGTGCGTGCGTGCGTGCGTGTGTGCGTACAGGCGTGCGTATGAGAGCTAATGGGCGTACTTGAAATCGTTGTAATAATCTATAACATAGTTGACTTTTGACTTTTACAGATTTGCACAAGATCTCTCTATGTGGACTTCTAGTAGGCGATGTTATTCAAATGCCGCTGTAGTGGTGACTGGAAACTGACAACACATTTGGAATGAATATTCATGTCGCTCGCACGGATGCATTCCCTGCCCTCGTAGGAAGTCGATTGTATTTCATGCTACACGTACGTTTCTCCAAATGGCAAAAATATCTGCAATTCCCATGTGAACTGTCGGAAAATATTGCCGATGTCAGAACGAGCATAGCATTTTCAAGGGATTATTAACAGGATATGGAATTCGTGTGCGTACATGGATGTCATCATCCGCATATGCACTAACACGGAGACAACGCTAATATATGCACCTACTCTGTATTTAATAGAATAATCTATCATCATTGTTTCTGCGCATCGATTATACTCAGACCATATATAATCTTTTATATGTGAAACAGTGGCCCTTGTATAGCATTTTCATTAAATTTTCCGTCAATGCCTTTCTAATATAAATATTGATTTTTATCGCCGACAAACCCCACAAGGCGATTGTTGTATATCATGAATTAACAGGAGCGTGTGCGTTCAATTGACAAAATACTGAACGAATACAATAACAACATACAACAACTTTCAGCGCTTGACTTAGGGGGCTATTCGGATATTCACGTAGATCTCATTAAATTCATCACTTAATTAAACACGGAAAGCACGCAAAACCCTGCAAATGTGATAAAAGGGACATTTTCAATGGCAGATGCTAGCCATTGCTCCTTGAAATAAACCTCCCAATAACCGTTATCATGGACGCCATCGTAAAATGTGTGTAATAGTATCGTTGTTATACATGCACATATGTACACACATCGACGCATGCCTGCATAGAAGCATAGACGTAGGCCCTACTCACAAGTCTTGTTTGGTATTCCGGGAAACAGAAATGCATTTGGGATTAATATTCTTGCCGCTTGCACGACTTTATTGCCTGCCCGCATAGTGAGCCGATTTTATTTTTCACGTTATCTTTTTCTGCTAACGTCAAAAATATCTGCAATTCCCACGAGAGTTGCGGTAAAATATTAAACCGATTGGCGATGTCGGAATCAGCTTAGCTGTTTCGAGGGAATATCGAGAGAGATGGAATGGGTAAGAGTGCACGTGTGTCAAAACTGCTTCAATACACGGAGAAAGCTAATGTCTAATACAAACAGTTAATAGATTGACGGCGATTTTAATTATATAGAAATCGTTTAAATCAATATTATTAAATATAAATTTTAGTCTGTACATCATGAACAACTTATTTCAAATATTATATATAGATGCTCTCTATATATCATTACAAAAGAATGATTACGCCAATTGGTCCCCGTCTCTGTTTTACTTGTTCTAACAATTGGTTATTAAAATATTTATTTCCTGTTCCAATAATCCCTGTTTCCTATTGACTCCATACCCTATGACAACAATGACGTGTTATTTTGCGAGAATACTAAACTAGTGCACTAATGGGATGAAACATCCCTTTGTGAGTAATTTCTTGACGCGTTAAGTGTTTTGACGTATATATTTTATTAAATTTTCAGTCATTTAAAGATTTACAGATCCTCTAATCCCCATGCGCTTCGACGGGGACAACTTTAATGACAACAACTAGTATAGTTAGTTACTCTCACAACAATTGGTAAAATGTATGCCTGTTTCTATTTGGCAGGTAAAGTTAACGAATTGCCACTACGTGTTCGATTTTATTAGATGGGGACAGGCAGCTTGTGTACCTCCACAAATGCAGTAGGGTATTTGTGTCCGACATCGACACTGCATGACTAAGACAAGGCGGTGCCATGGAATACGACACGCACCCAAATTTCCCATTGATATTGCTGCCGCGCATATATATATATATATATATATATTATAGCACGTGTTCGGGTTTACATCTTATCGACGATGGATATCGCGTGTCATAGACGACTCCTGCACTCTGACGATATTCATTTTCATGCCGACGATGCGACCGACAGCACGTTCTCACGTGCTCAGTTTAACGATAGCATTAGCGATGACACTGGAAATGAAAGCATCACAGAACGCATTTTTATACTAGCTATGCCTCTGACGTCTCCATACAATCGTTGCCACTGAGCACGGTCGATATAATATATCACGACCATTTGACAGTTCTGTCTGACGAGCAATGAGCGGTGTGAGGATTCGGCACAGAAACGTCTATTATCGTGCTGCTCTGGCTTTTGGTCCGGTAGCTGCTATCTGATAACACTAACAAAAATATACAACCTCTTTAATAAAGCGCGAAATCCAGATGGCAGTGCGCGTTTAAATTCGGGCATTTGCAAGCAATGCTAATTTTATCATCATGAAACCACGGTTCTTCTCTAGCCAAACAACGAATCGTTTCCACGAAATAATCTGATAAACATACTTGGTCTATAGATTCCGTGCTAACCGTCTGAGAATATACTATCCCTATTTCTTATCAACACATCTACATTATGCCTCTCCTTGCACCTGCGTACATTTATATCATATCCGGGCAATAAGCGTGCAGTGCAGAAATCGACCAGCTCAAATAGCCGCCATGCAGGAGTTCAGTTTTATTTGCCAAATGTATATACTGCTCTACGTTCACGAAAAACGCACGCACACGCACACACACACACACACGCGCACGCACGCGCACACGCACACACATACACACACACACACACACACACACACACACACACACACACACGACACACACACACACACACACACACACACACACACACACACACACACACACACACACACACACACACACACAACTACACACAAATACACGCAAACACGAACGCACACACACGCACACGCGCATACACACGCACACACTCTCTCTCCTTCCCGCACGTAATCACACGCATCGCGCCCGTGCAAACGCTGTCACGTATTGCGCCAGCGAAGCGCGACGCGATTGATGAATTAACCTGTTTGTCGCTACCGCGAGATCGATGAATATGAAAACAAGTCGGTGCTTTAACGTGGCTTCGCAGAAAAGTAATCAGCGCTCACGTCAGTTTACAACTAATTGCTCATTAGTTCGCGAAGTGTGCGATGTAAGCACGCGACACTAGCAACAAAGGCACTCCGGCATGAGCAGAGACACGCTGAGTGCATTCGACGAGTAGGCATAACAAGCCATTAGGATCTTTACGAACGGCAAGAAATCAGCGTGCTTCAATCTTGCCGAAATCCGATCGTGATGTCTGATGTAGACGAAGTATACTTTCGCTACGGCCGGAGGACAAAGCTCAGTCGTTTGAAACAAAGGCTACCGGTAAAAATCATCCATAATGGATGCGGGATAAAAGGGGGAAATCGGGTGAAGGGCGTCGCCACATGACGCGTTACAGTGTGTCATGGAAATGCAGCACAAGTATTCGCCTCGAGCAGTGTAAACTTCTATTTCTGGAATTGCACTGGAAGCGGTAATGGCATGGGTAAATTTATTTTCCTGGGTATGTAGCGAGTACCGAATAGAAAGGGACGCCACTCGTGGCAATAACACCGATTTATCACTTAATATTCACATGTAAATTTAAAGAAGTCAACTCCGTCCTTAATTCCATTTCCAGAGGCGAAAATTTCGTTTCTACCCATTGGAACAATCGTGGATTTTGACTAGGTTTACTTGATAGTGTTCTGCATGGTAGCCTAGCAAAGGGTATTTAGCTTTACCTTGATTCTTCGATGTGGCCGAGTATAAGTTAGGGATCTAAACAGCGTAAATTCCTATTGTACCTGCCCTAATAAGTCAACGACAAAGTCAAGTGACTTTAACCGATGTTTGAAACGTTTTATAAATACCATCATGCCCCAGTAAATATACTTACAGAGACGGCGGAGAATTTGTGTACACGCGCAAATGTGCTATCCCGTCGGAATAAATTACTCTTATATAAAAATACCAATAGGAGCGAGAGCAGGAGAGAAACAGGTAGATGCGTCGAGATGTAAATGAAAGAGGCATGACACAGGGCTAGAGGAGTTCTATAGGTCGAGCCAAAAGATGAGGAATAGGTTTGTGGTTACAGATAATGCATCCCGCAAAAAACGACACTTGGGGAATATAAAATTTACGTTGTTGTTGTTTTTATGTGTGACTATTTAAACTACTAGTAGATATCATTCACTAGATATCACTCTCATTATTAGCCGTGTTTTCAGTATATAACGATTTATCGATACATAGTAACTGTTATAGCCTAGATGATTTTGTAAGTTATGGGCTATGACTATAATTAAGACTTTAACTGAAAATAATTAAGATTTTAAATCCACGATAAAAAACTATTCGTTCGCGAACAATGTTATGCGAATACAGTATAAATCCGCCCAAACTGTGTGCAGCAATGAAACAAGCGATCAATCAAATTGTATGCAATTATCACCCTATAATAACGCCAGTAATTTTGTCCACACAGTAACTCGGGTGCTTAAGGTATTTATATAGGCAATAATCATCTTGCAACCATGCGTCATCAGGTGACTATGCCCCGCCAAACGCGCAAATTGACTTAAAAGACGCAGGATCGCCGCTTTTGAATGTCAGTGAATGAGATGTAGAAAAATGTCTGACAACCACCTACCCTGTTGTCTCGTATGAGACGTCGCGTGAGAGCGATGTGTGTTCGCTTAGACCTGTCGGGTGCGTCCGGGTGTGAAAACACGTAGCGGTCATCGAAACCTCGCAACTGCAAGATAATCAAGATATATAGATTATTAGCTAGCTTTCAATATCAATAATCAATAATCAAAACTTGCTGTTCCTCTCTTACGTCGTTTCCAACTCTTCCTCTCGATCTCTCTCTCTCTCTCTCTCTCTCTCTCTCTCTCTCTCTCTCTCTCTCTCTCTCTCTCTATCTCTTTCGCTCTCCTCTTTGTCTCGCACGAGCGCTCACCTCCCCTCTATCGAGCGCATGTTCTCGCTCCAAGCATCGTGCACCAGCTATTGTGACGACATATGAAATAGCGAGCTTCATTAAAGGAACCCCTGTGTAGTATATTATAAATAACATCGCATATCGTTGCGATGGTTGTGCGTTGCGTTAATAGGTGGCAAGCCAACAAACGCCATGTAGCCGCAGGTAAATGTGCGGGGCCCGGCATGATTTTCTACGTCGCATAGGTGCTGGAATATTCTATAGGGCCCAGTGGCATCGCGGAGAGACGCTAATTATTGTACGAGCTGACAGGAAATCGTATCCCTTCTGATTGATACAGTAACGTGGCGCTGAGTAGGGCTGAATGTTCCAGCGGGATGAGTTATATACAGCGAAAGAACAATATTAATTCAGAGTAACAACAACAACAGCAACAACAACAACAACAACAACAACAAGAAAACATAAACAACGCGTTGATTGCTGTCAGTACAGGCTTATCGAAAACAAAACTCATTAATCCGCTGTTTTCAAAATTTACAATTTTTTCACATTTACACTCAATGTGCTGTTAACATGTTGTTATAGAGGCCTTAAATTATGAATACAGTGCGTCTACTCTAATCGTGCTAGAAAAGGGCTGTGAGTGTGTGTGTGTGTGTGTGTGTGTGTGTGTGTGTGTGTGTGTGTGTAGTGTGTGTGTGTGTGTGTGTGTGTGTGTGTGTGTCGTGTGTCGTGTGTCGTCGTCGTGTGTGTAGTGTGTGTGTGTGTGTGTACGTGTAGTGTAGTGTTGTGTGTGTATGTAGTCGTAGTCGGTAGT